GGGCCAATTCCAAGGCATTTGTAAACAAATCAGACACCTACATGAGGCGTTGGTTCAATCCAGGCAAAACTGAGTGGCTTTACAACTACATTGCAGTATCAAAAATGAGAACATGAGGACATGAGTGACAGTGAGCAGAGCCTTGCTGTGGGGTTAGGAATGGATGCAAGTTGGAGAGCATTCAGATGCTTCAGCAAGTATAGAACACAGCTGAACAAGTTGCTCCAATCTGTTTGACACATGTAATATTACTGTTTTTGGGACCAAATGCTTGCCAGTGTATTTCCAGATGCAATTCAAGATTCTGGGTGTCATTTTTAAAGTCCTTAATGCATGGCATGGGACTGGGTTACCTAAGGGACGGACTTCTTCCAGATGTTTCTGCCCATCCAATCCAATCTCACGGGAATGTGAGCTATCAGGGACCAGGAGATGTCTCTTCTCTGCCAGAACCATCATCCTCTGGAACATTCATTCTCTAGAGGAGCGGTCTCCAACTTTTCTGGCTTGGCGGCCTGGCATGTGTGTGTGTGGGGGGGGAGGGATTGTTCTGGGGACTAGTAGGTGCACATTCTCATTGCATTTGTACGAGGGTGGTTATTATTTACCATCCAGAGTCACTGGTTTGAAATGGATGGCTATACAAATTGAATGAATAAATCAATTAATACCATTATGTATGTTTGGTAAACGTATCTGTTAAAACAACTCTCCATTTGTTCCTACTTTCCTCTTTTCTTTAGTAAGCGTTCATATCTTCTTACACAATTATCAGATTTGCTCAGAGATTTGTCAAAAGCCTTTTGCAAGGGCTTTGTCAATAGATTTTTAAAAGTCCAAATATTGTTTACCAGATCATTGTTATCAACGTATTTTGTGATTCTCATTAAAAAAACTCAGAAGCTGATTGATGGTATATGAATTACCAAGTTTTATTAAAAATAATAATTACATGGAATTTTGCAAAGTTTTCATCAGGATTCCTACTTTAATTAATAATACTAACATCTGCTCCATTTTTGCTAGCAGAAATGTAGGTTCGCTTTCCTTACAATGGATATTTTTAATTTCTTCCCAATATACTTTTTGTTAATAGTTTATGGCTACAAATGCCATATGGCTGAATTCAGTGAGTAGTTATTATTATTAGTTGTAGTATATATTTATATTTTTGCTGTACTTTAATCCAAAATGTGTGAGAAGCTAGTCTTGACTGCTTATCAACACTGAGGGTGAAAGCTACATCACCTTTAGAGACTATAGTATTCCAATTCATATGCCCAGCCTTAGGGAAAAAGTTATTTTTATGTTAAGAAAGGACAGGTGGATGGTAGTGTAGAAAGTTAGCCCCTACCCCTCTCCTAGAAGAATGAAATATTTTAGGAAATATTAAAAAAAGCAGGATAAAATATTTCCCCTAAAAGAGAAATAAGAATCTTAAAGGAAACAGAACCCCAGGTCCCTGCCCCCAGCAGATATTTTGGTACATATTAAGAAAACATTAAGAAAGCCAGCCCATAAACCATCTTTGAAATCTTTGAAAGGCTTGTGCTGTCCCACCTGAAAACCATCACAGATCTGCTGTTAGATCCCATGCAGTTTGCATACCGAGCAAATAGATCAACAGATGATGCTATTAATATGGCTCTGCATTCCATCCTACAACACCTTGAATCTCCAAATACCTACGCAAGGGTCCTCTTTGTAGATTTCAGTTCAGCATTCAATACCATCATTCCAGACATTCTTCTAAGTAAATTAAACAAACTAGCAGTAACTGAACATGCTTGTAAGTGGATCATAAGCTTCCTAACAGACAGGAAGCAACAAGTAAAGTTAGGCAGAATCACATCTGATACCTGTACAATCAGTACAGCCCCCACCCAAGGCTTTGTGCTTTCTCCACTTCTTCCTATATACCAATGACTGCATCTCAAACAATCCATCTGTTAAAAAACTGAAGTTTGCTGATGACACAACAGTGATTGGTCTCATTTGAGACAACGACAAATCCACATACAGACAGGAGGTTATACAACTTGCCTCATGGTGTAACCGGAAGAATCTGGAACTGAACACACTCAAAAACATAGAAATGGTGGTAGACTTTAGAAGAAACCCTCCCATATTACCACCTCTTACAATACAACACAGTACCAACAGTAGAGACCTTCAAATTTCTAGATTCTACTATATCACATGGCCTAAGATGGACACCTAACATCAAAAAACATCATCAGAAAAGCACAACAAAGAATATTCTTTCTGTGCCAACTCAGGAAGCTCAAACTGCCCAAGAAGCTGCTGATTCAGTTCTACAGAGGAATTACTGAGTCTATCATCTGCACCTCTATAACTGTCTGGTTTGGTTCTGCAACCCAACAGGACTGTTCTGTCCTTTATAATTACTAGCTGAATTTAAGGCAGACAGACTTACTCCACAAAGGCATCCATACAAAGTCTCTTTATTGGTTTATCAGGCATCCTCAAATATAACTCACAATTACGTTGAGATTTATCTCAATGTCCAATTCTCTGCATAGCTGACTTTCTGGTGTAAAAGGATAGTTCTCTTTTCATTCTGATACTGGTGAAACAAGGGGTTGAGGCGCCAGCATGCTGCTGGGGTTCAGGCAAGAGTGAAGAAACATCCCCCAACCCACCAAGGGTTAATTCAGTGACCAATGCAAAAATGCAGTCAAAAAGCTGGAACACACTTCCTCACTAGTCCAACACATGTAGATGACTCTACCAGACTGTCAATTATTTGGAAGCCTGCACTCACAAACAAAAAAATCTCCACACCACAAGCCAGGCAAACATCAGGGCACAAACAGACCCCCACCCCACCCCAATACCTCCAGCTCAAACCCACCCCAACCAGGCACCCAGATGAAACCTAGCTTCCTAATAAATGATAGCCTGCATACACACACACACACACACACACACACACACAAAGAGACTTATCTCAAGTAAGCAAAACTAGATTATCTTCCTCCATGCCTAAGTATCTTAAGTGGGAAGAAAGGTCACACAAATGGGTTATATTTTTAAATAGAAATCTATAGGCCTATTCTTTTACTAAAGACCAAACTAAACTAAAAGTATTTAATGTGTAGCTGATAATTAAGTGAAATAATGCAACTTTACACAAAAGTATCTGTTGCTCCTATAGGTAAAGCTGCTCTGCTTAGCATTTACCTTTAACTGATTATTATGCAGAAATGTTTGAGTCCTAGGCTGGAATAATGTTACATATAGTAATATAGTGGAGTCATCTCTTAACATATGAAGTTCCATTGTACATCCACTTGCTTTGTCCATGGCAAGTTCCAGTTCTTTCCCATCTGCTTCCCATTCCACCCACTAAGCTCCAATACCATAATTAAATTTACAGAGGTAAAAGAAGAGAAAGTTGCACTGCTGCAGAAAAAGAAAGTAATAGGCTGGGGGGGAGGGGAGGAGGCAGCTGCTACTGATTAAACCTCTTTCATTATTAAACATGTACAGTCAAAGGAGTTATGTTTTCAGGATATTTTTTTCTTTCCCTTATAGTCCTTAATTGGAGTCCTTTTTAAAATAAAAGTTGCCATTGTACATAAGCTCTATATATTTAAATTGAGATTAATTTAATATAGATTTAAATGAATTGTATGCAGGTGTTGACAATATGTGGGCATTTGTCCTGAACTCATTAACAGACAATATATCTTTGCCCATTATGTTTTTTTCTTTTTGGGAGTAAGCATTATGCAAAGGAAGGAAAAAAGGAAAAAAAGAGTGAGAAGTAGCTAACAGATATTAAAGGCAGGAAATGAGAGAGAGAAATCTTGCTATTAGAAATATTTTCAATAACTCAAAAATATTTTACAAATGAGTGAATTTTGTTAAGCCTGTATCCCATAGGTACTAAAATTAATACATTTGAAATGTTTGTTTTTAGCACTTCGGGAGTCTGAGGGGTGCTTTCCAGTGGATTTTGCCTCCTGGTAACTGCCTGGATTAGCCCTTCCTAGGCTTCCTTGGGGAGTTTTGCAGAAGTGGTTTGCTTTGGCCTCCTTCCTAGGACTGAAAGAGACTGGTCCAAGGTCATCCAGCTGGCTTTGTGCCTAAAGCAGCGCTAGGATTCATATCTCACTACAGCAAACTGGCTCTTCTATTTCCATCGCTTGGCTCACCCCAAACCTCTGCAAAAACACAAGAGCAGCTATAGTACTGCTATTCTTCCCAATGTCAACAGAGAGAAAGTGGGGAAGAAGTCTTGGTTATGTTAAACACACGTGATGGTAGCACGAAGCAGTCCTCCCAATTGAATCGGATTGAACTACCGAGCTAATACACCTCGGAAAGTTCAAGGCTCATATTTACTTTAAGGACCCGCCCATTCTTCGCTTTTTCTTGTAAATTTTCTGATAAATGTTACTTCTCAAATTTAAAGTTTCTGTCTAAACGTTTCAATACCGCAGAGACTTAGATGCAGAAGCCTGTGAATTAAGCTCCTTTGTTTTCTCAGTCTACTGAAAGGAGAAACGCACCTTGGTGCTTATTCCTATCCATAATAGATGATTCCCACTGGTGATTCATAACATCCTCCCGAAGCCTCTATGGCGATATAAAGCTGATGCACGTAAGTGCCGGTAATACACCCCCAAAGGCGATGCCTGGATTACGCTATAAATCTCTAGGTTAGTCATCTCATTGGTTTTTTTTTTACGGGAGAAGTAAAACAAGCGCCTAAGCATTTAAAAAATTTAATTAATGAATTAAAAAAAATAAAAGTAGAATCCACTTTCGATAAACAGTAGCAGTACTGCAAGCTTGAGAACAAAAACCCTCCAAGGGCATTTTGCAGCCCAGCCGCTCCAACGCGCAAAGCTGGGGAAAACCACAATTTTTTCCTCCCTTCAAACTCTAAGTACCCGCAAACCTTAGCTCAAATTCAATCTGTCTGGTAAGCCACGCCCTCGGCACAGGCTCCACCCTCTCCATTCGGAGAGTCACTTGGGGCAGAAGAATTCGTTTTCCTTTCTTTCTCTCTCTCTCGCGCGCGGAGAGTGACGTCACAGGGACGCACGGATTCGGGAAGGAGGTTTGGAAGGTAGCATGTGCGGGGGCTGCGTGAAGACGGAGTACCCGCCTCGGGTAAGGGTGGGGAACGGGCTTTCTGTAGGGCACAGGAAGGGGGCGCAGCCACGTTCCCTTCCTTTGTCGCTATCTTCCCTAATCTTCGGCTTCCTGCGAAGTTTGCCCTCCCTCCCTTACCAGTTCTTGCCGGGGAGGAGATGAGATCCAAAGCGGGGAGGGGGGGGCGGTTTCTGCGGGCAGAATTAATTTCTCCCGCCTTCTATGATGCCTTTATTAAGATCAGCCAAAATGACGCTGAGCAGCGGACAAAGTGCAATACTAATAAATATATTCCCGGATTTCCCCGCTACCCTTTGGAATTTTCCCCTCCCCTAGGACGAAATAAGATTAGGAATCCTTTTTTCCTATTTTTCGCCTTCATTTTTCCATGCACAGCACGAAGCTGCCTCCCCGGCTTTTTTTTCTAAGCTCCCCCCCCATATTCCAACCTGTTGTGGTTTTAAAAGATTCTTACAGATCTATTTGATAGCTGTGGGTGGGCCTCATTTTCTGCCCATAGGATGCAGGCCTTTAATTGTCAGCACTTTTAACTGGGTGATACTATACAGCTTCCAGCATTTTTATTGAGTCGTTTCTTATATGGGATTCTGGGCACTGTAGTTCACCAGTTAGAGGGGTGGGGGATAGAAAACGGGTTTTCTCCTTAATAGGTACTGAGTAACAAAACCATTCTTCTTGAGAAGATGTTTTTTCAATATCTGTGTGCTGTGCTTTCAAGTCAGTTTTTGACTGCTTGGCGGCTGCTTCCTGCAGTTTTCTTGGCAAGATCCACCCCCAGGAGTTTGCCATTGCTTCTATCCCAGGGCTGAGAGAAAGTGACTGGTCTAAGGTCACTCAGCTGGCTTTGTGCCTGAGGCAAGACTCACAGTCTCTCAGTTTCTAGTCTGGTGTCTTAATTTACGCAGAATTACTATAAATTACTATGTGTTTCCAAGAAACTCAGCTAATGATGTATGATAGGAAATATATTTTCTATTTCTAGTTTCTAAAAGTAAACTGTTTAAAAGATATTTTATCATATCTCTAGGTTGTGTATGTGTTTTTTTTAATTGCATTTCTCAATATAATGTTGAAATTACTGACTTGACATCAACCAAACAGAACATTGTATTGAGAAATCAATTGAAAATCAGTAGTACATTTAAATCCAGAGATGTGCCAGTTGATTAGAAAATTTGAAAAATGCAAGAAAATGGCATCACTGAAGTGTAGGATTTAAATATAGGATTGCAGAGTATATATTATAGTCTGAAAAGTCTTTGGTGGCATTATTGTCTTCATAGTCATTGTTGACTGATTTCTATCTCTGGAATGGAAAAGAATATGCCACAGAAGAAACAGTATTTGAAAACTAGGGTCAGGTGGGTTGTTAGAAAGATTGCTTGTTTTTGATGTGTTAAATGAGACTTTACCTTTTTTAGTTACGGTTTATAATATTAAGTATGAGCCCATATAGGGAGAAGTCAGATTTTAACAGCTTACTATATAGCAGTAACTGTGAGAGGGATCTTGGAGTCTTAGTGGACAGCTAGCTAAATATGAGCCAGCAGTGTGCAGCCGCCGCCAAAAAAGCTAATGCAATCCTAAATTGTATTAACAGAGGGATACAATCAAGATCAAGTGAGGTACTAATACCACTCTATAAAGCCTTAATACAACCACACCTAGAGTACTGGCATCCAGTTTTGTTCACCACATTATAAAAAAGATGTTGAGACTCTAGAAAAAGTACAGAGAAGAGCAACCAGGATGATTAGGGGACTGGAGACTAAAACATATGAAGAACGGTTACAGGAACTGGGCTTGGCTAGTCTACTAAAGAGAAGGACCAGGGGAGACATGATAGCAGTCTTCCAATATTTGAAGGGCTGCCACAGAGAGGAAAGGGTTAATCTATTTTCTAAAGTGCCTGTAGGCCAGACAAGGAATAATGGATGGAAACTGAACAAGGAGAGATTTAATCTGGAAACAAGGAGAAACTTTCTGACAGTGAGAACAATCAACCAATGGAACAGCTTGCCCTTGGAAGTTGTGGGAGTGCCATCAGTTGAGACTTTCAAGAAGAGATTGGACGGCCATTTGTCAGAAATGGTGTAGGTAGGGTCTCCCGCTTGGGGGGGTGGGGTTGGATTAGATGACCTACCACGTCCCTTCCAACTCTGATTATCTGTTATCTGATATTGTTTAGAAGACTGGATTGAATACATTCTATCTGGAAAGAAATTAGGTCTGGGGGAAATCTGCCAGAATTATTCATATGTAGAATAAAATAATGTGGGGTACTTAGATAGCTTCTATATGTTTTCTGTAATCATAATCACTCCCTTGATTGCTTTTTTTAAATATGAGAAGTTTTGAATGTAGAATTTTGAAATAATTTGTAAATTTGGCTCTTAATTTAAGAAGAGATCACTGGCTATTTTACCATATTTCCCCACTTTTGAATCTTTTAGGGTACTACTTGCTTGGAGAATGGATCCTATTTAATGAACTATGTTGGTTGCATTGAATGCAAAACACGGGATTTTGTGATGATTGTGAACAAAGCAACAGAAGAACAGGATGGAGAGGAAATAATCACTTATGATCGTAAGATGGCCAGATTTTTCTGTTGTTTGTATGGGCATTAAGAACCTGCATCCAGAAATCTACCGTTGAAAGTTAAATGTGTCCAGACATGCTTTTGTATCTGAGACATGTATTTCATTCCCATTATAAAAACAAAATGGTAATAAACTGTTATCACAGTTAGCTAAATAATGCACTTCAGGATTCTGGGCTATGTCCAGTAATACTTGCCGTCTAACAATTGAGGGATAAGGGAATAAATGAATTTATTCTTCCTGTTCTTCAGCAGAATTCAGGCAATTTAGTGTAGTACTCCAAGTAATTACAAAAGAGAGGATAGACCAAAACTTTTCAATTAATCTTTTCTGATAACTACAGTATTTGGTCATGCCCATGTAGAAGTTGGGGGTAGGGGACAACACTACAAAATAACTTCTGGTTATTTTGGTTTCCCAGTCTGATCTACATTCCTTGGATTGCGTAATGGTCTCACATTAAAAATATTAATTTTATTTGATTCTGTTTAGCTTTTCACTTTTTCTACGTAATGATTGCCAGTTGCCCATAAACACATTTTAAACAGATTAATATTCTTTTCCAACAGCATCCCAGGGCTGAATGTCTCCTAGCCATGTTGTTTTAATGAGCAGACAAGTGTCTACTTGTATTGTTACTCTTTCCTGCTTCTCTGTATTGCCATTTGTGTGCTCAGTTTCCAAGAATTGTTAATCCTGTATGTCTTTTGCTTTTTCTTCTACTGTATTTAGTGAACCAGTGTGCAATGCCAGAACATGCCAATGCTCTCACCTTTTTTCCATTGAAGCGATAGCAACGATAGTTTTAGAGAATTGATGATAGTAGGAATAATCAATAAAAGGCTAAGAATGGAAATTGGGGGCCCAAATAAGAAAAGGTTGAGATTTCCATTAGACTCTACCTTTTTAGTATGACTGGTATTGTAGATATTATCTTTTGATTCCTATATGTGCGTATGTCTTAAGCAACTTGATTTCTTTTACAATTTAGAGCATAGGTTTCAAGCCTATTTTGTTTTCCTAAATCTTTTTGTTTTCTTTTCAGATGTATGTAAGAATTGTCACCATGTGATAGCCAGGCATGAATACACTTTTGGTGTGGTGGATGATTACCAGGTATAAGAGCCTTTCATTGATCAAGCACTAAATTTGTTTACCTTTTATTTACTTCAACTTTTTATCTTCTTGAGGCTCATTGTTAATTAATTTTCAGCATATAATTCAATATTCTTTCATACTGTATGACGTTGTTAATGAATAGACCACATTTTAGTTTAGAATGTTGTGTGAATCCAGCTGATGTAGTTATTTAGTGGTTATGCTGTGCAAACTCAGCCAGTTGATTTAGTTATATAAACTATTATTAATTTATTAATTCAGTTTGGGTGCTGTCTAAATACAAATTGACTCTGGGCAGATGCAACAGATCATAAAAACTAGACAAATATATGTGTCCCAGGATAATGCTGCAGAATCCAATCTTGAGTCAGTGACTGAGACCAGAGGTTTATTCTTCTGAGCTTTGGACTCATGCTGGAGCCCATCCTCAGGGAACTTCTCTCTCTCCAAAATGTGTGATCCTCAAATAACCGAGCCCTATGCCTTGAACTGTAGCTGGAAGCGTACTGTCAACCACTGTAGTTCATGAAGCCGAGATGTCATATAGGCACACTCAGGCATGCCAATCACTGGTTTTCAAAGGCAACCTCATGTAGAACACATTGCAGGAGTTGAACCTTGAGATGACCAAGGTGCGGATAATTGTGTGAAGGACCAGTTCATCCAAAGAGAGAAATAACTGGTACAGCAGAGCTGTACAAAGGCTCTCTTGGCCATAGCTGCCACATGATCTTCAAGCCAAAATTGTGAGTCCAAGAGAAGCTCCAGACTCTGCACCATTCTTAAAGGAGGAAGTGGTACTCCGTTAAGGATACAGGTGAAAAATCCTTGGCAATCCCTAATATCAAGAGCCGGTCAGTCTTTATAGGATTGAATTGAAGTCAGGTCATCCCCTTCTAGACCTACACAGCCCCCAGACACTTGGGCAAGACTTTAACTGCCTCACTTGGTCAGCCTAGGGTTAATAAATATAATTGGGTGCTATCAGCATACTTTTGATACCAAACCCCAAAGTGGCTGATGACCTCACTCAGCAGTTTCATGTAATATTTCTGCTTCACAAGCTGTACTTGCTGCCAATTCACTTCTGGGTACAATTCAAGATGCGAATCATTTATCTATAAAAACCTAGATGGTTTATGGCTTACTAACTTGAGGGACCCTCTGCCTCCCTTGGTATCTACTCAGCCAATTCAATCTGGATGTCATCAGGACACCAGAAGCATGCCTTCTCTGTACAGTGTCTGCTGTCTAGAACAGCGGCCCTGGGCCGCAAGAAAATATTGGTGGGCTGCAGAAAAATCTCACCCCCCGGAGCACCCCCCCAAAGCAATTAATCCAGGCTGCACAGGAACACAAGGCTGCGCCACCCATATGGCCCGTGGGAACCCTCCTGACCCACTCACTTCTTACCCGGCAAACTTACCTGTTATATTGCTATTTTTCTTTTTTCCGACCATCATCTGTTCTGCTGTGCCGGGAGATTTAGATTAGCTAGAAAGCAGGAAATCGTTGAATTTCTTTCTTTCCAGCTAGTCTTTAGATCTTCTGCTCTGCTTTTAAGCACAACCGAACCTCTCTTAGGACTGAAGGTTCTATTATTCAGTGCAGACTCCCAGCAAGCAAATTGTATGTGACAGACTGAGGTAGCAGATAGCAGATAGATATCTGAATGAATCTGTGATTCTGTGAGCAACTCAATTTGCCTGCCTGATTTGGGGTAAAAAATGCTCTTTTTTGATAAAAAAAAAATCAATATTTATATAAATATTTATAATATTTACATACAAGCCATGCCCAGCCAGTCACATGACCACCAAGCCACACCCACAAATTAGACCACGCCCACAGAACTGGTTAATGATTTAAAATTATGAATTTGGTGGTCCCTGAGGTCCAAACGGTTGGCGACCTCTGCTCTAGAGTGAGGTTTCTAACCCAGATTTGAACAGCCATCACTCTAGTGGTATTTTAAAAGGTATTGAAGACTTACTTTTTCAGCAAGGATGACTGAACCTCCTTTTAACTTGAGTGGTTTTCCTTAGTTCCCATCCAGTTTTGTCATTCTGCAATTTTTACCGTTCTTTTTGTTTTTTGTTGTTTTTCTTATTTTAATGTTTTAGATAATTTCTAAACCACCCAGAATTGCTGTGAAGCAGGCAGTATATCAGTTTAATTTATGGTTCACACAGTCAATCAAGATATTGAAATTGGATTTGACATTTTTATCTACCTATCGGGTCCTTTCTAAGGACCTGGCATAGTTGTTGCTATTTGATGGTGTTAGAGTTATTGTTGCAGGACTTAATTTTATGAAAATAAGTGATATTTATTTATATTGCATTCAAATAAATCATGACTTTACACTACCAAAATCATGGTATCAGATTTTGGCACAGTTATTGCAAAGTGGTAGTTTCAGCAGTTCCTTGTGAACAACGGGGAGATAGAGGGCTTTTATAATTGATACCAATCTCATGTTATACCCACCATATCTTTTAAGGTGTTGGCAAGTAGTTAGTAATTTAAAAAATGGTTATAGGAACTTCTGAGAGCTATGATGTAGTGAGTCTGGAAGGCCTCAGGTTGCGGAAATCTAGGATTGCTTGAACCATGAGTATTATTATCGATTCCTCGGTTAACACAAATTGATCTATTTCTGCAGCAAGTGAAACAAGCATCTATTCTCAATCACCCAGTATAAATATATCTTGTTTCTCCTTCCAGGAATATACCATGCTATGCATGCTCTGCGGGAGGGCAGAAGATTCTATCAGTGTCTTGCCTGATGATCCTCATCTGATGACTCCATTGTTCTGAAGTGCCTTGATTCGATTTTTCTCAGCCATTGTCTTGTCTTGTGCTAAATGACAGAAACTTATGGGATATGACATTTACAGAACACAAATGCAGACTCTGCTCAATCCATGTGGGAAGTCAAGTGATATGGGGTCAAAAAAAATGCTATCTTAATTTTACCATCATCAGAAGTGATTTCTGCAAACTAAAGGAATAGAGAGGAAAAGTTTCATTTGCTGAAAGCTTCATAGAAAAGGCAGAACTGCTGCCTCCTGCTTTGGGTCTTCTTGAATGTTTTCTACAAGTCAGAATGCTGTGGTCGGTGTTATTGGCATTGAAGGGAATGCTGTGTCTTGCAGAAATATTTGGAAAGGATAAAAACGAGAGGACCTTTTTGAGACTATCTACCCCATTCCAATACCGACCAGTGCCCCCAGCTTTCCTATTTGAAAGAAGACTGATTTGCAGGAGATGCAAAAATGTATGCGAAAAGTTATTGTTATTGCAAAAGTGTCAGAGGAAAATTGCCTTTCCCAGAGCCATCCAGCACACCATGTAGAAATAGAGGAAGAGGTAAGACCAGGTTACTTGAGGGACCGTCTCACCCCACTGGGATTGGCCCATGTCACTCGTGCCAGCTGTGGGTCCTGTCAACCCAATTTTTCCAGCTGTTGGAGTCCAGGAGGAGGGCCGCCTTCTCTGCTGTTGCTCCTGCCCTCTGGAACATCTTGCCCCACTGATGTGAGGTTGGCCCCAACCCTCCTATCTTTTTGTAGGGGCTTAAAGATGTGGCGGAACAGCGCAACGGAGGTGGTTGGTTGAATAATAACGGATCCCACTTCTCCTCCACTCCACCACCCCCGCCATCCCCACGTGTCCTTGGTTTTAATATCTGATTTTAACTTTTTATGTTTTAATTGTATATGTAACTGTAAGCCACCCAGAGTTACCCTACAGTAAGATGGGTGGCCAATAAATTTAATTATCTCACAGAAAGCTTTAGAGGAGGATAGAACTAGTCAGTGTTTCTCGGCGGTTTCTTTGCCCCCAATTAAAGAAGATTCCATTTTCCTTCCAAGTTTTCCAGAATGTACGGTTGACTCCTAGGAGAGTCATGTAATTTCACGCTTATTAGAAAAGGAACAGAGGAAGAAATCTTGCTGATTCTAATCTAAATAATTGCACTGAACTTCCCAAGCCATGGGATGCATGCCCTCTGACATGGGCGGTTCTTGAATCAAAGGGGGAAATTGTGTTTTCTATTGGCACATTGTATATTGGGTGATTGTTGTTAATGAAATAAAGCTGAAAAAAGGTTGGCATTATAGTATTTTTTGCTTGGATTCCCTTTATCAATAGGACCCTCATTAATTTCATTGGGAAAGATGCACATCAATTCAGAAAACTAAAAAAAGCTTTAACTTTTTCACAGAACTGTATTTGATTCAGCAAGGCTGCCTTCTGTGGTTCATTGATGGTGCCAGCCTGTGGTATATGGCCTATTTTAATTAGGATTTCACTGTGAAATTAGGTAGGGAGAGCTGATCTGAGACTAATTAAACAGAAGTTTCATCTTTAAGGAACTTAGTCAAGGGCCATAAATCTTTAGCCACTAAACCGTTTTTGAATGCAAATTACCTTAAACTGCTATCAGCAAATGTAAGCTTCAGTTCTCATATGTAAAATTAGAAAGAGACCTGGTGTCTGCTAATGGATTCTAGAAGCATCCCTCTCTATGGAAATTGGTCCTTTTAGAAAGGCTGTACTGATCCTGATGGTGGTATCTGCCCTTACTGTAACTTGCATTAGCAAACTTCTCTGATGTAGATGGAGATGACTGCTTCTTGCCAAAGATTTTTATGATGCTGCATGATTACCTTGCCTGCTCAATGAAGCAACTAGATACTGATTTTTAACCGCAAGACTAAAACTAAAACTGGTCATCTTGCCAAGCTATTTATGAGCATAGAATATAAGGCACTCAAGGCCAGTTGGCAGGGTAAGTCAATGGAAGGAATAACTCTTATAACTTGCTTACTGATAATTTCATGGGTCTGTTATCTTAAAACTGTATTGATCTCAGTTCCTGGAAGGTTGGACAAAGTGAAATCGCTAATGAGAGTAATGGGTTTATTTTTTTTAACTCAAAAGGAGGCCCTCTAGGACCTGACCTTTTGCTTAGAACCATTAGGCACACATTTGTTTTTGTTCCTACTTTTGCACTTGGTGCTTAAGAGAAATGTTTCTGGCAGCAAATCAAAATTCGTGAAGAGACTTGGCTTACCTTTCTTCTCTTGGTATTCCAGAGTGAATGAAGACTCCTGAAACCTCTCAGTTCAACATTAGAAGGGATTCATTCAAGAATTAAGGCTTGCAGCTATTCACTATATTCTGTTTTGAGAGCATGGCTAATGGTGTCCGTATTGTATTATTTTATATACTCTCAATGTGATGGTGGCAGATTTACTAAATTTACTGATTTTAATGGAGAACCATTGAGCCAGTCTGCAAAAGCTGGACTTGCTCTTTAAGGCAATGGTCCCCAAACTTTGTGGCCCGGTGGGGGAGAAAGAGGGGAACTGGGCCATGCAATCAGCCGGCACACATGGGCACTCACTTGAGCGGCAGCCTGGTGCAGATGCATGTGTGTGCCGGCCCACTGCTTACATGTGTGGCCCTGCACACACGTGTGCAATGGCCTGCCTCTCACACAGCCCAGTTCCGAATAGGCTGCAGCCCAGTAGTGGGCTGTGGCGGGGGGCGGGGGGGTTTGCATATAAATAGAATATTACTTACAGTATAACATTATTCCACATTTGGAAATATTCTATTTGATTCTGTGGTTCTTGTTAGGCATGAAAACCAGGACCACATTTTAAGTTCCAATTAAACTGATTTGCCACTCAGGCCTATGCACAGGAGTCTACTCAACTAACAGCACTATTTTGGTGCTAGATAAGAGATAATTCAAGGCGGGATTGGACTTGATCCATTTGGGTCTACATAGAGATCCTAGGCTGTTTCATTTTTTGACTCCGCCCTCAGGTTCGGCCACCTCTCCTACAGGCGGCAATATAAATTTTTCAAATAAATAAATAAATTCCCATCATCTTGTGTCCCTTATTTACCTGGGGACTGCTGGATTTGTTCAAATATTTTACATGCATGGTGTGTCTTTGCATACTTATTGGATAGAATGTCGCCAGCAGATTGTGCAGCAGCATCCACAAGTTAGATGGTGAGAGAACAATAAACACAGATGTTGCATCTGCCTGTAGATTTATAAAACTTGCACAGCTTTTCTCAAATCCAAATTTTGGATGGGGAAGTTTCTCGGGTCTATGACAGTTCTCCCCACCAACTCACCACAGCCAATTTGCCATGGTCAACTTGCCACAGGACAAGAGTTACACTAATACCAAAGAAATTGTGGAATGAAATATGAATGACAACATTTTTTTTTAAAAAAATAAACAATTAAATTGTCCCAGGGCTAGTTGTCTTATGGTGAGTTGGCCATGGCAAGTTGCCCTGCAGCGATTTGGCTGCAGCAAGTTGGCCATGGCGAATTGGCTGTGGTGAGTTGTCGCATTCCACCATTTCTCCATCTAAAGATGCTCCATCCTCAGTTAAATATGAGTGCTCTGTAAAATAATGTTTTGATTAAATGGCGAAGACTTGTGAACTCTTACATGAGTGTGTGTACCTCTGCATGTTTATACAGCAAACAGTTTATCTTTTATATAGATGATGATAATGGTTTAGATCAGGGTTTCCTCAACTGTGAAGTTACATTCCTTGGAGAGTTGAGGACAGAGTGCAGGAGAGGAGTGAAGAACTTTTTAGCTAACATTGTTACCGTAAATCTACCTTTCTCCAAGTTTCATTGTATTCTTTTCAATGTTCATTTGTCTTCATGCTAGTATTTGGATTTGTAGGGGAGGTACATTAAGACTACTACTGTAAAGGAAGGAAGGTATGATTTCAAAAAGTTTAGGAACCCCTGGTTTAGACTGTGTTCCAAAAAGTATGATATGAACAGTCAAAAAGAGGTGTGAAGGGAAATAACAGAAGTAGTCCAAGAGTACATATTCCCTTAAGTTTAACCATTAGAAGATAACATTAACCCTGCTTCTCAATGTTCATTTTATTTCATCTTTATTGGACATTCTTTTATAACTGATTTTGGGTTTCTTTTTCTGGAACGCATTAAAAAAGACCAATGAAGTGAATGGAGTTACATTCATGGCATATTAAGATTGAAATTCCATGCACAATTACAGGAGTAAGTTTAATTGAATTTAGTGGGACTTCTGAATATGCTTGTACTGTATAGTGCTATCCCATTAAATTAGCTTGAAATGATGTCCCCCCCCTCTTTTTTTTTTACACAGAATAATGTGGTCTTTTTATGAAAAATCAGGAGTATAAAAAAAAATGAAGCTATTCCTTGACAAGTACTAAAAGAGAATACCCTGTAGACCTTGAGTCCCAGAACCATCTCAAAATGTATGCTTCGTCTATTTCCTAAAATACGTTGATGGAAGACACTGATAAAAACTGGTTTGTGTTCTCATTATTCAACCATAGTGTTATTGACAAAGGTGGGGGAAACCAGAAGGTAATTTTTGATATGCTTGGCTAGATTGCTCACATCAGTAATGGTGGTGTATATTGTTTGATTGGATCGAACAACAGTCTCCTAGAGAAGCTCCTTTACTTTCAATACAACCTCTGATTAATTATTTAGGAAGGAGAGAGAGAAAACCAGTCCCTTGTAATGAATTTTAATCAGGAGAGACTGTCTTTCAGACCATCCTCTTTGCAATTAGCAGATACTCTGAGATCAAAGATGTTGTTAAAATATGTAATATGTATGTTACAAGGCATTGCTGGATATACTCTGCTGAATTTAATAGGAATTCTGTGGTTGTTGCTATCGGTGTGCTCCCTATTCTTCCTATTTTCTAATTCAACTCTTAATCCTTGTGTTATTTTTATTGGGGTTTTTTGATGCGAGTTT